CCTCGAGCGTCGCAGGGTTCGTAAATTTCTTGCCAATCAAGAACGACTCTGCGTTGCGCGCGGATACCGTCATAGGTGCTAGGCCCCCAAAAACGAGGTTCACGCTCGTCACATCATTCGATGGAGAAAGTGAGACACGCAGAGCGGCGTTGACGATGGCGATGTCATCATCCTTTCTCTTTGACTGTTTATAAGCCCGAAGGTATTCTCCCTGTTTGGACGAAATCGGAATACGCAAGCTCGCAATGACGGCATCTTCTGGAAGGGCAGTCAAGCGGTAACCTTTGAAGAACTGGTCCATAGGGATCTCGGTTTCCCCCCTCAAAGACTTGGCGATGAGAACAGTGTTCGTAGCGACGAACACCGGATTTAAATCGGAGATGGGAGATGCCGTGGCCAGATTTCCCGCGGGGGACGCAACATTCCTGATCTGCCTTCCTGCGAAATACCGAAGTTGTTTCTTAATGGCCTTGAACGGCTGACCCTGTACCGGGCCATACTTTTCGACCGCTTCGTCGCAAATTGACTCCAAGTCCGTCAAAGAGACGTTGGCTCCGAGTTCAAGATGGTTGTCTTTGAGAGAGTATCGACGAAGTTCTGGAATGTCGCCCACGTAGACAGACGCGTTGTATTTCATTGCCTTGAACTTCACTTCAATCTGAGTCTCCGTACTTCCACCGATGATTTTGGACGCAGGGTGTGCGCTTTTAATCTCTAATAGTTGCTGCATAGTGACCGGCCTGTACCACTTCTTTTTCTTATTCCCAAAGACAACGGGTCGAAACTCGTGTCTCTGGAGAGCCGGCGGGAATATCAATTCCGTCCCTGGATCGTATTTGATAAAGTCAGGGGGTGTGAACTTCGGAGAACTACCATCGTTGGTCTCCTCGTTTGACAACTGTTTGCAGCACCCTCCTGTACCATTCTGTTTTTCCATGCAGCAACCTGTTCCACCGTTGGCACTTGCTTTCCCACATACATTTGTGGCTGTGAAACTGTGCGCGGCGTCCAGAATCGGTCTGTACCCTGTACAGCGACAGAGGTTCCCATCGAAAGCTTCTTCCACCGCATGTTGCGAGGGATCGGGGGTATTGCGAATGAGGGCATAAAGACTCTAGAAATATTGATCAATCAGGTCAGCCTTATCGACAGAGATATTGTGGTGTACGAAGATCATACCATGACAATTCCAGGTGTACAGAAGCCACATTGACTGCCATTTCCAATCGCCAGCCGCTCCTGAATTGCGTGAGGGTTCTTCACATTCCCGATACCCTCAACCGTTATAACATGTTTCCCGTCGACACTTATCACCGGTGCCAGGCAAGCATTGACGGACGCGTGGTAAATCTTCTTGGTAGTCGGATTGACGTGAGACACAACCTGTAAGGAGTAAGAATTTCTGCCGCAAAAACAGACTCAGATGTCGATGTCGTCCTGACTTACAACTGTGCAGGCACCGCAACCTCCCTCTGCACAACCCAGCTTAGTTCCTGTCAACCCTATCCCTCTCAAGTATTCTAAAAGAGTGAGCTCTGGATCGACGTTATCGAGTATGACTTTTGTGCCATTGAGATAGAAACGAATTGTGTCATCCCAGTCCTCGGTCAACTGGGCCAGGGAAATAGCCTTGGAAGGCTGCTCCTCCACAACGGGAGAGCTTAAGATTCCAGGCGCCATTGGAGTCTCAAACGGGGCTCAGATTCTTTTTCCCTATCTGTAAATGCTGTCAGGGAGAGCTCTCCCAGCTGAGGCGATAGCTTCGTTTGTGTAGAGTCAACCGGAGAAGCTGGTATGCATGAGTCCAGCGGGCGATAGAAGAGACGGATCAACAATCAGAGAGATCCGGATTATGAGCAATGGTAATGATATTTGTGATTATAATTCAAGCAGCAGCAGATGAATCCATCACCTAAAGTGATATGGAAAAGATATGTGTGCAGTGTCTCAGAACTGCGATGCACAGACTCGTAAAATAGTTTATCGCCTCTTTATCACCTGTTTGTCTCTCCACCCCACTCGTTATCGCCCCTTCGCGGGGATCGCCACCATCCGATGAGCAACGCCCCTGGAGAGCGGAAAGCAACGGCCTCCATCCACGGTTGGAGTTCCTACCAATAATGACGAGCAATACTGCGAGGCAAGCCGTGGAGCAGCGTAGCATTCATTATTTCTAAGATTTGAGATTGTTTGGCATGGATTGAACATCACTGGCGCTTTTTATTACTATCGAGAGACTACGAGAGGTACAATTCGAGGAAAGCTTGATTTAATTCCTCAGGCAGCAACGCCAATCCATATGCTCCACCCGGTGTCACGGGTTATCGCCTATATAAGCCAGATATTATAACACAAGAAGATAGAAATATATCTCAGAAGTAAGAAACTTCCCAAGTATCAAAGGACACACGGGCCAGGAGATAATGTCCAACATTGCAAGCCACTTTTCAATTGGTCTTCTATGCTCTGAGCTTAGCACCAACGAAATCCTTCTCTTCTTCCTCCCATTTCTTTCGCTCAACGACGCTTCGGGCCCTATTTGTAGTAAAGTTGGTCAAATGAACTGCCTTCGTGCGCACTGTATACAAGGGACATGAAAGCACGTACCGATAAGCTCTGACGAAGCGCCAGATTTCAGTGTCCGCCAGGTTCCAAGCTTCAGCCACGTCTTTGATGCCAATCCTGTTGGTCTCCTTGCTCTTCAGGACTTCCCTTGCCTTTGTGATTAGATCGTATTCCTTCTCAATGCCCTGTTTGCTTGGGTTGGCGTTCTGCATTGAGCCTTTGTTGGTATTTTGCGCAGACTCTTTCGTTTCGCCTCCTTTCTTAGTTTCGCTGGGGCCACTGCGAGGGATCTTGAATCCGAATTGCCATTCGAACTCGTCCAGAAGTTCCGGAGGCAGGACCTGGCCGTTGTTTGCTGGCAACGATTCCACAGTCATCCACAATGAAGTGCCAATTGCCGAATCGTCTGCAACGGCCTGCTTCAGCACGACCGCTCGGGCAGCACCTCCAAACTCACTACTCAATCGGTCTTTAGTCACCTCCGTCAGCCATGGGTCGCGTTCAGTTTGACGGCGAATATGTCGAGTGGTCACTTCCTCAGATCCCTGTTGCAGGCTAACCAGAGTGTACGGGTGGGGGAGAGTGCCTATCGTAAAAACGTGTGATGAGTTCTTGTAGGTAGCGGGCTGACTGATATGCATCGGCCGATCAGGGTTGCACGGATGACACTTCTGCAGATTTGGAGGGCAAGATTCGGGTATGGGCGAGCTCGGGCATTGACCGAGAGCTCTGGCAAGGCGCAGGGCGGGTTCCACTAGGGCGGTCGTATGCTCAGGGAAGGGCTTCAAAACAGCAATGCCGGCCTGGAAGGAGTTCTGGAATGTATTATGTAGATGTGAGTTGACCAGCTCGACGAGGGCCAGTCTCCCAGCGGTCGGCGATGAAACGATCTTCTCTGCGAGTGTTGGATAGTGAGTGGTGATGGTCGCAGAGGTGTAGAAAGCCAGAGCGCTAGGCTGTTCGACCTTGAAGATCTCCCCGGGCATGATGTCCAGCAAGGATCTCGCCTTTTCGTCCACACTCTTGAGGGCATTTTGCACCACATTCTTGAGCGCGTCGTTGATAAGTGTCTTCTCGCCAGCGAAAAGAGCACTGCCAATGTGGTCGAATCTTGTAATCTGCGCAGGATCGACCCCCCGACGAAAGTAAGACAGCAGCGGATCATCATATCGCGCCATTGGGAAACAGCGCCAATCGGCGAGTAATCCGGTGCCCATATGACCCCAGGCAAGCCACCTGAACAGATCATACTCAAGATCTTTATTGAGTTTCAAGGTCTGTACCATCTCGTAGAGCTGATTGTTCATCGCCTCGCCACGGCTGAGCACGACTGGCCTAAACCCCTGAGCGAACCAAGCCCGACGCCAGGCGAGAAGAAGCTGCGCATCAGCATTCTCCGCATCCTTATTATCGCCGTGAATCGGTTCGTAATAGGTATAGATGAAGGGTCTCTCTTGAAGTGGAGGCAGTACGGAACGGTTCTCATCGAGAGTGATGGACGACGAAAAAGGGTTGATCCATGCAAAATTGCTGAACCATTTCGACTCGCCGCTGGTACTATTCTTCTGTTCCGGCGGTTTATGGGAAGCTGGCCGGAAGAATGGCAGGTGATAGTCACTCAGAGACGGGAGCTTCGGCCGGGGTACATATTTCGCTGGGCCAGAGACCGCTTCTTCGGAACTGGGGGAGGAGGAAAATATTACCAGTACGAGGGCGACAAAAACGATAATGGTTAAGAGAGCGGTGCTTCGATGCGGAATCATCTTTCTCTCTTTCTAGGGAGAGAGCAGATTCTGATGGTTACGACAGGGGTTGGAATCCTGCAGGAACGTGCTTAAAGAACGACGTTGCGCTTACGATCGCGGCAATTCAAGTGGAAATTTCAGAGTAAAGCAGATCGGCATCACAGTGACATTTGCAACGAGTCAACGGCATAAACAATAATACGAAGTCTCAGAGCATCGCAAGCAATGAGCAGAGCTGAACCAGTGCTGATACTGCGAAGGCCATTCGTATCTGTACAGCGTAGGTAGCCTGGCCTTGACCCAGGTCTTTCGTTACTACCTCATCAACAACTGAGGTACTTTGGACCCAGGAACAGTATGGTCGTAGCCTAAACAAGTTAGGTACCAGGTACCTGCACAGCCGCATCCACGAGTGGAAAAGGACAGAGAGGGAGTGCACTAGGCCTATTGCGGCGAGCAGTGGCAGTCCATGTGCCTTGGTGCCTTGATGCCTTAATCCCGTAATGCCTGAAACCCCAAAAGGCGGTGACGGCGACAGAGAGATGATTGTGGGGCCTGGGGCAGCGAAATCGGCACTTTTCTGGTAGATGCCCCTCTTGACTCTTAACTATTATTCTTCTGCTCAATATCCGGCCCCCGTTGTGAAAGTCGAGTGCCCAAACAAGAGTTCCGGGCCTCTGGACCGCAATAATGGGTGTTGAAACAGCCTCCTTACAAGATCGCCTCGAGAGATGGGCGCAGAGGCTACAAAATTTAACAGTGTCTCCTCTGACCAGAGACTATCCCGAGAACCAAAAGGCGGATCTGAAGAGAGCAATTGAGGCCTTTGAATCTCTCAAGCTACCAAAGGATGTGCATACCGGACTGCAAAAACTCTCTGGATCATCGTCCGGCTTCATTGCTTTCTTGACTGCTTTTGTTGTTCTCGTAGCTCGTTTGACTGGCGATGAGGATATCGCTGTTGCGACCAGCTCAGCGGAAGATGGCCGGCCATTTGTCTTACGGGTCTCAATTGAGCAGTCTGAGACCTTCCAACAGCTATACTCTAAAGTCGAGAATGTATGTGGTACTGTCGTTCATTGTTGGCCATCTCTGACCATATAACAGGCATTCAATCAAGGAGCTGCCGATATAGTTCCGCTGGGTAGCCTACGGTCCTACATTCAGGAAAAGACCAAGTCAGAACGTGCCCCGATCCTGTTCCGCTTTGCTGCCTACGATGCCCCTGCCTCATCACAAGAATACCCTGCCAATACCTTCGAAACTACCGACTTGGTTGTCAATGTTGCAAACGCGAACGGGTCCACGTCCGAGGCGGAACTGGGTGCATACTACAATCAGCGTCTGTTCTCAAGCGCCAGGATTGCTATCATTCTGAAGCAGCTTGCACATATTGTGCAGAACGCCTCTAAAAATACCGAGGAAGCGGTTGGAAGAATTGATTTCATGACGGAGGATCAGCGGTCGCTGCTACCAGACCCCACATCAGATCTGCATTGGTCCAACTTTCGCGGAGCCATCCATGATATTTTTGCACAGAATGCCGAGAAGCATCCGGACAAGCTTTGTGTGGTGGAGACCAAGTCGGAGCAGTCTCCTCACCGTGAATTCACCTACCGGCAAATCAATGAGGCGTCGAATATCCTAGGCCACCACCTGGTCCAAGCTGGCATCGAGAGGGGAGATGTTGTCATGGTCTATGCCTACCGTGGCGTTGACCTTGTGGTAGCTGTCATGGGTATTCTCAAGGCCGGCGCAACCTTTTCGGTCATCGATCCTGCCTACCCGCCTGAGAGGCAGTGCATCTACCTCGATGTTGCCCGCCCACGAGCACTCATTAACATCGCGAAGGCCACCAAGGAAGCTGGCGAGTTGACTCAGCTTGTTCGGTCTTTCATCGATGAGAACCTTGAGCTGCGGACGGAGATTCCCGCGCTTGCACTGCAGGATGACGGTACTTTGGTTGGAGGATCTGTTGACGGTCAAGATGTCCTCGCGAATCAAGTTTCTTTGAAGTCCAAGCCAGTGGGCGTCGTGGTCGGTCCCGACTCGACCCCGACCTTGTCATTCACCTCCGGTTCTGAGGGTAGACCAAAGGGCGTCAGAGGACGTCATTTCTCTCTGGCGTACTACTTCCCATGGATGTCCGAGACCTTCAAGCTTACCCCCGATGATCGTTTCACTATGCTGAGTGGTATCGCTCACGATCCTATTCAGCGAGACATCTTCACACCGCTCTTCCTGGGAGCCCAGCTATTGGTTCCGGCTCGTGAGGATATTCAGAACGAGAGACTCGCGGAGTGGATGCGCGAGTATAGCGCTACTGTTACCCACCTGACACCTGCAATGGGTCAAATTCTTGTCGGTGGTGCCTCTGCGCAGTTCCCTGCTCTTCATCATGCTTTCTTCGTTGGTGATATCCTGATCAAGCGAGACTGCCGTTCTCTGCAGGCCTTGGCTCATAATGTCAACATTGTCAACATGTATGGAACTACTGAGACTCAGCGTGCGGTCAGTTACTATGAAATCCCCAGCTACTCTAGCCAGGAGGGCTTCTTGGATACTATGAAGGACGTCATTCCCGCGGGTCGCGGAATGGTCGACGTGCAGATGTTGGTTGTCAACCGGTTCGACCCTAGCCGCATTTGCGCCATTGGCGAAGTTGGTGAGATCTACGTTCGTGCGGGTGGTCTGGCAGAGGGCTATCTGAGCAACGAGGAATTGAACAAGAAGAAATTCCTCACCAACTGGTTCGTTGATCCGCAGACGTGGGTCGAGAAGGACAAGGCTGAAAGCCAGGGCGCAAACGAGTCCTGGAGGCAATTCTACGTTGGACCCAGAGATCGCTTGTACCGCAGTGGAGATCTGGGCAGATACACTCCTTCTGGCGATGTCGAGTGTTCCGGGCGTGCTGACGATCAGGTCAAGATCCGAGGGTTCCGCATCGAACTCGGTGAGATTGATACGCACCTTTCTCGGCACCCTCTTGTCCGGGAGAACGTCACTCTGGTGCGAAGGGACAAGTTTGAGGAGCCGACTTTGGTCAGCTACTTCGTGCCAGATATGAGCAAGTGGTCCTCATGGCTCGAAAGCAAGGGCCTCAAGGATGATGATTCTGCCGAAGGAATGGTTGGCATGCTCAGACGATTCCGGCCTCTTCGCGATGACGCTCGGGAACACTTACGCAGCAAGCTCCCTGCGTATGCAGTGCCTACGGTCTTCATTCCTTTGAAGCGGATGCCTCTGAATCCCAACGGCAAGATCGACAAGCCTGCATTGCCGTTCCCAGATACTGCCGAACTCAGTGCGGCAGCGCCTCGCCGCAGATCATCCGTCCTGCAGACTCTGTCCGAGACCGAGCAGGTTCTGGCCCAGATCTGGGCTAACCGCATTTCCAACGTCACCGCTCGCATGATTGGACCTGACGATTCATTTTTCGATCTGGGAGGACACAGTATCCTGGCTCAACAGATGTTCTTCGATCTGAGACGCAGGTGGCGCGGAATCGACATCAGCATGAATGCCATCTTCCGTAGCCCTACCCTCAGAGGGTTCGCTGCAGAAATCGATCGCTTGGTCAACTTCGAGTCATTCGCAAGTAATGCCAACGAGGGTGATGCCACCGCAGATACTCTGGCCACTTCCAACGAAGCTGATGACGAATATTCCAAAGATGCTAGGAAGCTCGTTGAGACCTTGCCCGAGTCTTTCCCTGGACGAACCGAGGACATGCTCTCGGGCGAACCTATCGTGTTCCTAACCGGTGCAACTGGATTCCTCGGTGCACACATCCTCCGTGATCTTCTCACTCGTAAGTCGCCTTTGGCAAGGGTCGTGGCACTCGTTCGTGGTAAGAGCGACGAGCAGGCTCTCGATCGCATTCGGTCTACATGCAGAGCGTACGGCTTCTGGGATGAGTCCTGGACTAGCAGGCTGCAGTGCGTCTGTGGTAACCTGGGAGAGCCACGGCTCGGCCTGTCGGAGTCGTTGTGGAATGATCTGACAGAACGAGTGGATGCTGTGATCCACAACGGTGCTCTGGTGCACTGGGTGTACCCTTACTCTACTCTCAAGCCAGCCAACGTTTTGGGTACCATTGATGCTTTGAAGCTTTGCGCGAGTGGAAAGCCCAAGCAGTTCTCTTTTGTCAGCTCGACCAGTGTACTCGACAATGACCATTATGTCCTTGAGTCGGAACGTAGCATTGCGGCCGGAGGTGCGGGTATCAGCGAGGAGGACGATCTGGAGGGTAGCAGCGTCGGACTGGGAACCGGTTATGGACAAAGCAAGTGGGCTGGCGAGTACCTCGTCAGAGAGGCCGGCCGGAGAGGATTGAAGGGAACCATTGTTCGTCCTGGTTACGTTCTTGGTGACTCCAAGACCGGAAGTAAGCATCATCCATCATACCCCGACCAGTTTTGCGCTTTGGGTTGAAAAAAAATTGACTAACATTTACTCTTTAGCCACAAACACGGACGATTTCCTCATTCGAATGATGAAGGGATGCATTCAGCTTTCTGCTCGCCCCAACATTCACAACACTGTCAACATGGTGCCCGTCGACCACGTTGCTCGCGTCGTCATCGCCGGTGCCTTCCAGCCCCCTTGCACGCCAATCGGGGTCGCACAGGTGACCGGACACCCCAGGCTTCGTTTCAACCAGTTCCTGGGCGCTTTGCAGACCTACGGATACGACGTACCCCAAGTCGACTATGTCCCATGGAAGATGTCTCTGGAGCATTACGTCAATGACGGAAAGCACGATGATCCCGAGTCACAGCACGCACTGTAAGTCACCCCTATGGAGATCGTTACAACAGGGGCAAAACACGGACTAACTGCTGCCTCAGTATGCCTCTCTACCACTTCGTGACGGCAGACCTGCCCTCCAACACTAAGGCTCCTGAGCTGGATGACGTTCACGCCGCTGCTTCCCTTCGTGCGGACACCGCCTGGTCGGGCATCGATGCCTCCGCTGGCGCTGGCGTGACCGAGGAGCTTGTCGGTCTCTACGCTTCCTACCTCGTGACAATCGGATTCCTACCCGCACCATCTACATCTGCGACCGGGGCGCGTCCATTACCTGAGGTCCAGCTCAGCGAAGACCAGAAGAAGGCTCTGGCGAACGTCGGTGGACGTGGAGGTACTTCGTGAGAAGTTTCTTCCTGGGCGGATCTGTATGGGTTTGATGTCATTTCTTTCTGGTGTATAAAATGAGCAGGTTCAGCATGACCAGAAAATTACGAGCGTATGTATGTATATATAGAAGTGAAATAAAAGGAGAGTGCGCGATTTTCAGAGATATAGGAGTACTACTGTAAAGAGTAATTCAGAAGGTGCCCCGTAACTGTCATATTTCCCAACGTGGATAGAGCGGCAGAATCGAAATGGCTCCCTTTGACTCCTGACTCCTGAAATCCACCCGTCGAACAGAATGGGAATCATGAGACTCGGATGATGCTGGAAAGCGGATATCAGGGAATTTCTAATTTGAAGAAAGCCACATATCGCGATATTGGTACTCCGTACTCCGTAGTACAGGCAAAATCATCCGATCGCGACGAGATGTCTGATTTAAAGCATTGTTGCCGCGATGCCGCTCGCGGTGTTTCCGGCTCACCGGCCTTTTCGTGGTCCCCCGCCAAACGCCATGGACAATTCCGTCCTTGGCCCAACTGTCCAACATTTAATCTCCCTCTCAACCAGGTCGTTTATCTCTCCCGTTCTTCCTCGCGAATATTCTCATCTTTAACTTCTCTGCAACCGCTGTCGTGATCTCCTCAATTAGTGATAGACCCTCGCTGCGACAAAATGAGTCACTCCGGTACGTGCGCATCTCCTTTCTTGGCGTCTGTGGATGCTCTGTTCCTGAACCCTGATCAACTCGTTGGTCTTTGTCATTTCTCTGCCCCTCGAAACCTTTCGCATCATGTGGATATCGTCATTCCCTCAATAATTATCCATCCAAGGAAGATTGTTTCTGATCGGTTTGCGGCGGTTGTGCTGTGCCCGTCTGTGCCTTTTCCGATTTCGCCCTTCCCGTACTTTTCCTTTTTCTTCCCTTTTTCCCCTTTGACCGCTTTCCATCGGATCTCCCCCCACTCCCATCGCTGCTTCGCAAACAGCAAGCCATTCCTCAAAATACTTGCTGTATATTTGTATCCTTCACCATGAACATCACGAGGCTGTTACCGCGCTCCAATGCTCTGTCTTTGCCGACGGCAGTCGCACGAGCATTTCGGGGTCGCGGGGCAGGCGTATATCCTCCATCATCTCAGACCGTATATATGTGTCCGACCTCCACCGTCAGCTTAATGCATCGCTCGCCCTGTTCCACATCTGCGCCATTGCGATCGAGTCAGAAATCGGAGGTCCAGACGAGTGCTAATAATGACTCACTTTCAGACAAATTCTCTGTCGCGCTCGCCAAGAACAGGGAATGGGCTGCCAAGTGCTCCCAAGAGCACCCTGAGCTGCTTCCCACACTTGCTGTCGGTCAACACCCTGAAATTCTGTGGATCGGCTGCTCCGACTCCCGCTGCCCCGAGACCACCATCCTAGGCCTTTTGCCCGGTGATGTCTTCACCCACCGTAACATTGCCAACGTGATTCACCCTGCCGATCTCAGCTCGGGCGCCGTCATCGAGTATGCCGTGCGTCATCTTCGCGTTAAGCACGTCGTAATCTGTGGCCACACCAAGTGCGGAGGTGTCGCCGCTGCCCTGGGCAACAAGGGCCTGGGCATCCTCGACCCCTGGCTGATTCCCCTGCGCCAGCTCCGGGAGCAGCACCTTGCCGAACTGCACTCTCTGTCCGAGGACGAGGCTGTCGTCAAGCTGGCCGAGTTGAACGTCAAGGAGGGCCTGAAGGTATTGACGCAGAAGAGCGTCGTGCTGGAGGCGATGCAGGAGCGAGGCCTTCAGGTGCACGGGCTCATCTATGATGTCGGATCTGGCGTCCTTCGGGAGCTGGACACCACCGAGCCCGAGGACGCGATCAAGGCGCGATTGACAACGTTCAAGACCGATGCTTAAGCGGTAGGCATCTTTATTGTGTTGTGTTCGATTTCAGCGAATTTCGGGTTCCATTTTGGTCGGGTGTTGATTATCTGTGACTGTTGGTTATGAGCGAGAGGTCAACGTTGGAACGTGCGTAGTTCACGGGATGTATATAGTTAAATACCTTGGTCAAAGTTATGAATCTAGGCCGATCGATCTCCTGGAGAAGCTCGACTCCAAGTCCGTAGGGAAGCCATGTCAATGACTGTAGTTTGCAGACGCCATCGCTCTTAAGAACGCATCATTATTGTCAAGCCGGAGATGAAGCACAGGTGCAGGAAAGGAGAGAAAGAAACAAGAAAGAAAAACGATTCGGAAACGACTACGGGGTATCCAATTGATTTAGATTATTCAGACATCAGCTAATTACGCAGCCACTACGCCGTTCCAGAGGATGCATGCACCTTATACCCTGCGAGGCATGATGCCAACAAACTCTTACTCGGTCGGGGAGGAGAACTCTTGTGGCCTGCTGTTTCGCACCCCGACGGTTGCCGTTTTGGGTATGGTCCCGGCCGAAGCGGGGTTGTGTCGGGCGAGAGTGGTGCCTGAGGTTTTATGCCGTTGATGTGTTGACTGTTGCAGAAGACTCGTTGGCGAGATTATACATTGCCATTGCTGCTATCGATCCAGCTTTAGCTAGCTTCATATATCATACAGATAGGCAAGGAAAAAAACCCTCGAAACAGCATCCTCGGCACAAAACCCTCCAAGGGATTTCTCCATCTCGTCTGTTTCAACTGAATCAAGAAATTCTGGAACAGACCGATGGGTGAATGAGATGCACAAGTGATTCCCCGCACGCCAATGTGTATAACAACAGGTATCTGAGTCTCCAGTGTAATAGTCAGGGAAATGGTAAGAAAGCAGTGGTAAGGGAAAGTCGTAATTTCTCGCTTTGCGCAGCATTGCGAAGGGTTGATACCAGCAACAGCGTTGATCGGTTACTCTTCGGCTCAAGCGCATCCTCGCTTCAGACTCTCGGCAGATCCAGTAGACCAGAATTGAGTCACGGATGGTTCGTTCTACGTCAGTGCCCTAAGCTTAGGCCGGCTTAATAATGATCGCGGCTTTAGGAATGGAGCTATCGTCAACGGACGGACTTGCTTCAACCCTTGGTTATTTTGTTGCTTTGCATTTGCCTTTAGTCGATAGTACTGACTCTGTCGGTTTCGCTGCGTATTATTACCTGTCTTCTACTTCGCTGTTGCGCATTGAGCACTCTTTTCTGATAGTTTACCAATAGTGCATACAATGGCTTCCAACAATGAAATGGAATATGTCCGGTATGCTCCTTCAATGCTTTGCTGTCGTCCAGGTCCCGCACCGCTAACCTGACCCAATGGAAATAGTTTGGGCAACTCGGGCCTCAAGATCTCCAAGATCATCCTAGGAGCCATGTCCTATGGCTCCAAAAAGTGGCAGGATTGGGTCCTTGACGAGGACGAGGCCCTTCCTCTGATTGAACATGCCTACAAACGCGGCATCAACACCTGGGATACGGTGAGTGGGCGCTCATGGGCACAAATAAAGCGACACGGCCATATCCTCTGACCCGAGTAATGCATTGAAGGCCGACACATATTCCCACGGCGTCTCGGAAGAGATCATCGGCAAGGCTCTGAAAAAGTACTCCATCCCCAGACATCGGGTCGTCATCCTAACCAAATGCTACTTTGGCGTCACCGACGAAGGGAACGAAGGCAAAATGCCTCTTATCTCCGCCTGCGGCCGAAACGACGGCGACTGGGTGAACCGGGTGGGACTCTCCCGCAAGCACATCTTCGATGCGGTCGATGCCTCCGTCAAGCGGCTCGGCACGTACATTGACGTGCTGCAGATCCACCGTCTGGACCGGGAGACGCCCCGCGAGGAAATCATGAAGGCTCTCAACGATGTGGTTGAGAGCGGGAAGGTCCGATACATCGGCGCCAGCACGGTCCGTTCCCCGTCTTCTTTCTGACTGTCCGAAATGACCCTGGCCGCTGACGTTCTCAGATGGCCGCTTGGGAATTCCAAACCCTCCAGAATATCGCCGCCCGCAACGGCTGGCACCAGTTCACCTCCATGCAGAACTACCACAACCTCCTCGCCCGCGAGGAAGAACGCGAGATGATCCCGTACTGCCTCGACTCCGGCGTCGGCCTCATCCCCTGGTCGCCCATGGCGCGCGGTGTCCTGGCCCGACCCTGGGGCTCGCGCTCCTCCGTCCGTGAGAACACCGACGCGGCGCTGCACCTGCTGGTCCGCAGCCGCGAGACCGAAGCCGACAAGGCGATCGTCGAGCGGGTCGAGGAGATCGCGAAGAAGAAGAATATTTCCATGGCGCAGGTCGCCATTGCTTGGGTGCTAAGTCATCCCAAGGAAAACCCTATCCTGGGTCTGTCGAGCAAGGAGCGGATCGACGAGGCGGTTGCTGCTATCAAGGTGCAGCTGACGCCGGAGGAGATAAAGTACCTCGAGGAACCTTACCGCCCCAAGGCTCTAACAGCTCTTGAGCGGTGATTGTTTGTATACATGCATGGAAGGGTGTATCCGTCAGTATCTGTGTAGATAAGTGGTTGCATTTAGGCAGTCAAGCTGCTGAGAGTCAAACAATAGTTTCAGACGCCTTTCTATGTACACTCTTCTAAGTTATACCATAGATGAGATGCCCCTTAGGTAACCACACAGATGGGATACAAAACTTGGAAAATGCAAAACTGGAGGTAAAAAGTCATTGATACCGTGGGAATCATAATGCTAGAAATGCGAGGATATGAGATGATCGAGTGAGAAGGCCTCCAGAGCCGGTGGGTGCGAAACCATGCGTAGTCCATGGGCCCGCATGGAAACATGGTTTCGCGCACATGATGCAAATTGCATAAATCGCGAAGAACCAGCGAAGCACCAGTCTTCGCTTAGTGGTGCCCGCTCTTTTTAGTGAAAAAGTCAAAGAAACCGCTTAATCGATGTCGTCGCTTTCCTTTGGACGGGGCAGAGTCTACCGCTCTGGTTTCAAGCAGTTTGCTGGCCTTTTCCGAGGGCGCCGTCGAATGCTTCCGTGACCGACGTTTCGTATCAGTAGACTTGTCTGGCGCTGTGTCTGGGCCGTCA